ACACACGCACGCACGCACGCACGCACACACACACACACACCACACACACACACCACACACACCACACACACACACACAAACATAAACTTTTGGCGCTCCGCGCGGATTTCCTGGATCCGCGCCAGGCCCCCCCAGGCGGCGCCTCTGGCGCCGCCCCTGGCGCGCTCCGCGCGCCAGGGAGGGGGGTTCAGCGCGGATCCAAGGAATCCGCGCGGAACGACAAAGTTTCTGTTTATGTGTTTTTCCCTTCGATTGTAACCCAGCTTCGGCTGGCAGCCGTGTAAGCATCCACGAGCTTTTCCGAATGTCTTCACATCTGTCGCTTGCCAAGCACTTACGTTCTAGTTCGCGTGCGGTGGCCTCCGCTGGCCTCCCGCTCGCCCTGGACATCTGGCAAACGTCCTCCCTCCTCCTCTTCCTCCTCCTCCTCTTCCTCCTCCTCCTCCTCCCCCTCCCCCTCCACCTACTCCTCCTCCTCCTCCTCCTCCTCTCCTCCTCTCCTCCTCCTCCTACTCCTCCTCCTACTCCTCCCCTCCTCCTCCACCTCCTCCACCCTCCCTCCCTCCCTCCCTCCCTCCCCTCCCTCCCCCTCCTCCCCCCCCCTCCCCTATCCTCCTCCTCCTCTTCCTCCCTTCTCCCCCATCCTCCTCCCCCTCCCCCTCCTCCTCCTCCGAACATCGGGAGGCGACCAGAACCCAGCAAGGTGGGCCTGTAACCACGCGCTCTCCCGCGCCAGCCTGCGCCAACTCACGCACGCAGCCATCCCGGCCCTTATGGCGCGGCATGGCGCTGCTGCCACGGTTTGCCTGCTCAGGCGTGGTTCACCTGTTCTCGAAGGGGCCGCAGGGGCAGCGATGCCAGAAACGTCGCAGCTCCACTCGCAAACAAGAGCGCCACGGCTGCCGCAGTGCACCTGCTCGGGTCTTGTTCCACCTGCTCGCGGGGGCCGCGGGGGCAGCATGAGGAGCGCAAGCGCAAACAACTCCCTCGGCCCTTCTTCCTCCTTGAAGCAGCGAGCCAGTCGGCCATGCTCATCTGGCGGAGTCGAACCTCCTGCTCCCACAGGGCAGCGTTAAGTCGGGCCTGTCCCCCTACAGGCCGTGTGGACGAAACAGTAAGAATAGTCAAACAATACCCCAAAATAGTAAATATCCCGGCAAAGCAACCTACCGGCGATGTGTATAAGCATATCTGGAAGCATTCCCCTTCAGATTCAGGTGAGAATCCAGTTGTAGAATTCTGCTGTTCTCGCAGTCGCAGTCGCATTCGCAATGACAGTCGCAGTGGCAACGGCCTCAGGATCCAATGGAATCCTAAGGATTCCTAGGGATTCCTATGGATTCCTACGGATGCCTCAGCCTGCCTCAGTTTCAGCCTCAGCCTCAGCCTGCCTTGGCTTGCCTCAGCCTCAGCCTCAACCTGCCTCGGCCTCAGCCTCAGCCTGCCTCAGCCTCAGCCTGCCTCGGCCTCAGTCTGCGTCAGCCTCAGCATCAGCCTGCCTCAGCCTCAGCCTGCCTCAGCCTCAGCCTCAGCCTCAGCCTGCCTCGGCTTGCCTCAGCCTGAGCCTCAGCCTGCCTCGGCCTCAGCCTGCCTCGGCCTCAGCCTGCCTCGGCCTCAGCCTGCCTCAGCCTCCCCTCCTCCCCCCCCCTCCCCCCCCATTCAGCCTCACCTTGTCTCAGCTTCAGCCTGCCTCGGCCTCATCCTCAGCCTCAGCCTCAGTCTCAGCCTGTCTCGGCCTGAGCCTGCCTCGGCCTCAGCCTCAGCCTCAGCCCCAGCCTGCATCAGCCTCAGCCTCAGCCTGTCTCAGCCTTAGCCTGCCTCAGCATCAGCCTCAGCCTCAGCCTCAGCCTGCTTCGGCTTGCCTCGGCCTCAGCCTCAGCCTGCCTCGGCCTCAGCCTCAGCCTCAGCCTGCCTCAGCCTCAGCCTCAGCCTGCCTCAGCCCCAGCCTGCATCAGCCTCAGCCTCAGCCTGCCTCAGCCGCAGCTTGCCTCAGCCTCAGCCACAGCCTCATCCTCAGCCTCAGCCTGCCTCAGCTTCAGCCTCAGCCTCAGCCTGCCTCGGCTTGCCTCAGCCTCAGCCTCAGCCTGCCTCGGCCTCAGCCTCAGCCTCTCAGCCTCAGCCTGCCTCGGCCTCAGCCTCAGCCTCAGCCTGCCTCAGCCTCAGTCTCAGCCTGCCTTAGCCTCAGCCTCAGCCTCAGCCTGCCTCGGCCTCAGCCTGCGTCAGCCTCAGCCTCAGCCTGCCTCAGCCTCAGCCTCAGCCTCAGCCTGCCTCGGCGTGCCTCAGCCTCAGCCTCAGCCTGCCTCGGCCTCAGCCTGCCTCGGCCTCAGCCTGCCTCAGCTCGGGCATTCAAAATATGGCACAGGACTGGTGTTCTGGGACCACGAAGATCACGAAGTGGCCCACATTTGGCTCTGGGCAATCAAAATATGGTACAGGAATGGTGTTCTGGGAACACGAAGAACACGAAGTGGCCTACAGTTGGCTCCGGGCATCAAAATGTGGTTTGGGAATGGTGTTCTGGGAACACGAAGAACACGAAGTGGCCTACAGTTGGCTCCGGGCATTCAAAATGTGGCCTGGGAATGGTGTTCTGGTTCAAAATGTGGCCTGGGAATTGTGTTCTGGGGAGTCCCCGGATCTCCCCGGCTTCCCGCGGCACCCGTCCGGCATCTACCCAGACCCCCTCTGGGGAGTCATGATGCTCTCTTTGGAGACCACTCGAATCTCTAGAAACCTATCAGTCTTCGCTGTTAGGTAAAAATGTTTTTAACATAAGTCCACAGGCTATTTTCAAACTATTTTCGAATATTCCTCCTGTAGAGGGACACGCCCGACTTCGGGGCAGCGGTAGCAGATGCGGCCACGCCTGCGCGAGCCCCCGATGCGCGCGCGGCTTCTGTGCTGGTGCCCCTGCAAGGGCCACGCCCCATGGGGGGGGGGCGGCCGCCTGAAAGGGCAGCACGCTGGCGGCAGCGATGCGATCGACGGCGACATCGACGGCAAGTCGCGCGACCCCGCCTCGGCCGTCCCGGCGGTGTTCTGGGTGACCCAAAAGGGGGTCCAGCTGAAAGGGAGTGGTGCAATATATTCTGGGCAATTACATTGCAAGTGTATTCCGCCAGAGAATTGTATTGCATTGTATTGCAAGTAATGTATTGCACGCGAAAATACAGCAATACATTTGCGCCCCGAATTGTATTGCAGGTGTATTGCAACCCCACACATCTATTGCACCAAATCTATTGCACCACCCCCTTGTCGCTGGATCCCCTTTTGGGTCAACCCGAGGTGTGCGCCTTCCCGTGGCAGCAGTGCTGTCCGTCTTGCGGTGGACGAGCGGCGCAACTGCCAAGAGACAAGCGCCGAGGAGGCGGACAAGGCTTCCGCCAGCACACATGGGTTCCAGCGGGTGACGCCCAGGGCCTTTTCAGCCCATACCCATTAGCCACTTCCGCCACCAACTGGACCCCAAGACGACGCGACGGAAATTTCGCGAAATTCGGTGCCACAACCCGCATCCACAGTTCAAAACGCAACGAACGCGTCACGAATTCCGGTGCCCATATGGACCCCGAGACTCGCCTGCGACCTCTCTGCTGGAGCTCGCTCGGGAGTTCTGCGGGAGATGAGACAGCGGCCGACCCGGCCCGCAGCCCTGCCCTGGCGGTTCTGCTGATCCTGGCTCGTGGGGGCCGCGAGCCCGCAGAGGCTCCCCCCTGAAGGAGCCGCCGAGACGACGAGGAGGGGGGTCGGGGACCCCATGGCAGAACGTGACAGACCACCTTGGGTCCGGAGGTGGACCCTGAGGCCTCCTGTCCAGGGCACGTCTGCCCTGGGGTACGTTGGGCCTCCCCTGAGGTT